GCTGCTTGAATGGCTGGGATATCATCATAAAATGCTCCCTTCATTGGGTTTTCAGTTTTGGAAATAAAAAATAGTCATATGGCGATAGATCAGGTGAATACGAAGGATGGTCGATGAGAGGAATCCCATCTTTCATTAAAAATTCGAGGGATTTTTTGGTCGTCATTTAATTCATGTGGAACAAATCGCGCACAAACCTTTCTTTTCCCCAAATCTTCAGTTAAAATTCTCCAAAAAGTGTTTTTACTCGTATTCAATTCCTCAGCCAACATTCTCGTAGTAAAATTTGCATCGATACCAATGATTTCACGGACTTTTTGCACCAGTTCAGCACGATTACTAGTTTCTGGACGTCCTGCTCTAGGGTCGTCATTTAAATCCTCACGACCATTTTTAAATCGTGTAAACCACGTATAAACTTGCGTACAACTCATACAATCATCACAATAAACTTTTTTCATTAATTTTTTTTTTTAAGTTCAACCAAAAATTTTATATTTGCTCTTTGTTCCATTTTATTTTTGAACCATTAGCACACTTTTGGTTTAATTGAAATGGCTGTCACTTTTACATCTGTCATCCGACTTACATGATGTTCGGTGCGTTTGAAAGAGGATGAATGTATCCTTTTAATATAGCAAATTTTCAATAGATGGAGCTGTATGTTGTATTTAAATATAAAGTTCGGTTATTTTTGGGACACACTATGTATGTGGAGCATAAGGGAACCGATCCATACAAAAACATCCTATTTATGAATCAATTTGCTTGATATTTGGATCTAAAAGTCTTTTATATTTTTTATATAAGAATTCAAACATTTTAACATAATAATTTTTATGCTATAATAAAATAACCAACTCAAAGCTTAATTAATTCAATTCAATGCGGTCGAGGTATGAGCATATTAGTCACAGAAATTCTTCGTACTTTTAACTTTGTATTAAATAATTATTCGCGATTTTTTTTTGTCGCGATAATAGTCTACCCACAAGTGATTTTCAACACACAGTTGTATTATATATAAGACTGCCAAAAAAGTTGAGAGCTGTGCTGGTTTACTTGCGTTACGCTTATGTTTTCGCTTTGTTTATTTATAATTTTACGATAAAACTAATTTTTTTTTTCGATATAAAAACATTTCTTATTAAAAACCAAATATAATTATTTTCCCAGTAAGGCTTCTACCCCTCTTGCTCTACACTCGCGTCTCCTAGACTTTGTGGGAACTTGTCGGAATGGGAATGAGTAAAATTTAATTTTAAACTCGTTGACAATCTAAAAATTTAAATGTTTTTAGCACTAGTTGGACGATTTGTTTGTACTCGTAGTTTGAGCCTTTGTTATTGCCTGAAAACTTCCAAGATCGCTTAAAAAGCATTGCACTCTTCTCTTGGAGGATCCATCATAGTTTTGATGAATTGTGTATCAGCCGTTGCCTCTGAGAGGCATCTAAACTCTGATATTAAGTATTTCAAGTAATTTCCATCTCTTAGAAGTGACTTTATGGGCAGTTCCTCTAGCAAACAGGAATTGTTGAGACAATTTGTAAAGTCACTAACAAGAGGCACTAATTTTTCATATCTCCTAAGTATTTTTTCCCCAACAGTGATCTGCTCGGTCGAGCCCTTCAATACCATTTAAGACGAGGTTTCAGACAAGCTGATCCCATATTCTATGACGCTGGATAAAATGACACCAGCTGCTAATTAGAGGAGGTACAGTCTTCTATAAGCGTATACAAATGCTGGCGCACGCCGTTGATAATTCTATTTTCCCCAGACAGGATAAGGGAGCGAAGCGTAGTGGTCTGGCAATGAACGAGGACAAAACGAACTATTTCCTCTCACTAAAAAAGCAACAATTCAGCACCAACAACAATTTCAGTCGGGTAATCTAAAGCAGAATCAGTGTGGTCAAGAGGTGCTCATTTGGAATGAGTAGGCAATTGAAAAATTTAAATCTTCTCTGAACAAACAACGAGGCAGGGGCGATGACAACAGTTAAAGAGTCGGACTGGGAGTTTTTGGGAGAAATATTTTGCAAAAAGTGATATACATTCGCGCTTGGGCAACGGCGAATATCACAAACGATGGAACTTTGAGACGACCGAGTGATATGACGTCATTGTCATTCTGCCCCTGCGGGTTAGGGGCTCAAGAATTTACCCGCGGTAAGGCATGCCTGTCGTAAAAGGCGACTAAAATCCAATTGCTCCCGAGACAGTCGGGTCTTTATACCGAAACGACCCGGATTTTTATCCGGCCAAGGACTGTCAATCCCGCAACATTCCCCAAAAAGCACTTTGGGGAATAATTTTGCGGTTACAACAACAACAACAACGTCATTGTCGTAGTGCAGCAAATAAAGAGTTAGGCTATGCTAATAGGTCATGTTGTGAGAATGAATAAAAGCACTCCAGGCTTGATAGCATTCCATAAAGTACCTTCAGATCTAAGCTGAGGAAGTAGACGAACCCCACTCGATAAAATACAGATAAAAACAAAAACTATAACATATTATTGATGTGTTTTCATATTAAATTTCTCTTTTCTCAGCTTCAAATATTAATCATCCCAGCTTTTACGAAAATGAACTGAATGAATTTTCTTTCGAGAGAGTTGTTTCTCAAAACGTTCCATTGCTTTTGAAGTAAAATCCGATTTTAGAGTAATCACCTTTAAAAGATTTTATTTCTTTGATGGACATGAAAGTTTAAATTCGAATTTTATTTATAGAAATTTTCTTCGAACTTCATGCCAAACTACCATATCATGTATTTTTTAAAATTTAATTAAATGTGCAATTAAAATCATGTTTGTTAGGGTCAATCGAATGAAATGGAAAGATATGTGGGGTAACAAAATAAAGGCAAATCCCTATTTTTTAGGTCTATAGGGATGCATTAGAAACCACTAGACAGGATAACGGTCGAGGAACATATTTTAATCAAATTCAATACTCATAATACCCATCAACTATCGAACAACAACCACGTCCTCGCTCCACGCTTGATTCAAAACTAAAATTCAAGGTTTTATTTATTTAAATGGAGACTAAAGTCCTACCAAAATCGGATGTCGATAAGTTAGTAAGTTCAGAGACTTACTATGTACTACTCTAATTTTGAGTTGGATCTTTAATGATCGTTTCGACCAGCTAAGTCTTCCTTACTTCTAAATTTTTGGGGAAAACACGAATTTAATATTAATTATTTTATCATAAGTATAAAACAGTAAAAGAGAAAGCCGGTTTTTATTTCCTGAACAAATCTTTAGTATGAAAGAGAATTCTGTTCCAATGTTTACGCTGCGAAAAAAAGTTAGAGGAGAGAGAGAAAGTCAAATGATTATGACTCTGGCTAGTCCCGTTGGTCTCTAATATAGTCCTCTCGGAACCTCTCTGTCCCTTAATGTACTCGTATGTATTAAATATTTAATTTTAAATGAAGAAGTGTCTCGATTAAAATTATTTTACTTAACAAAACTAACTACTATTTAATGATCTCACCTCGTCCCTAACGTTACGGCACTCAGCGTTGCATTTGAACTTATCGCCCCTCCGCTGGCGAGCTAGAGAGCTTGTGGCTATAAGGCTGGTGAATTTTCAAATCACAACTAGGTCGTAATGGTTTTAAAAAATTACATTTTAACTTACTTAAGGGTGTTTTTACAGACATGTGGTTTCCAAGAAGAAAAAAAGCGCGTTTAATTTAATGTCATGGTCAAGAATTTGCATTCATTATTAAAATACGGGTACGCCGTTATGTTGTAAATATAATTTCAAGTGATGATTGACGTGGCTGGCTGGAATAAATTTCAGTCGAGAGTACCAATTTTAATTTTTTTCAAGGCATCAATCATCTCGATTTCACAGAACCCCACAAAAAATAGTCTAGCATTGTTGAACCGCACGATCTTGGACGCTACGCCACAAGCCCACGACAAGAGAAAATGCGCTTATCAAAAGTATCCCTCAATAAATGGATTGCTTCATTGGCTGTATGGCATGTAGCGCCGTATTGTTGGAACTAAAGGTCGTCCACGTCAACATTTTCAAACTCAGTCGCGTAAAAGTCATTAATCATGGCTCAAATAGACTGTAACCTTATGTCAGACTTAATTTTTGAAGAAATATAGATCAATGATTCGCTCTGTCCGTATAGCACACTAAACATCTACCTCTTGAGGATGTAATGTCCACTCAAGAACGACTTGTAGATCATCATCACTCCTTCAACCAAAAGTGAGTTTCATCGCTGAATAAAATTTTCTTTTGATCCATTCACCGAACGTTCGACGCGTTGCGGTTGTCTTCAATGCTTGCTTGCACGAGTTGGATTTTGTAAGAACGCCAAACCAAGATCCTTCCGCAAACTTTTCTATCGCAGTCGCGAATATACTTATTCGGGTCTCTTTCGATACTCTACCCCCGCACTGCGTATTATCCACTAGAGTAAACTACCGACGCTGCTGGGCAACTATGCCGACCGAATATTGGGCGAATCACGCGATATGTCGCACGATTCGCAAACGTTGTTCGGGAGTAAGTCTGTTCATTACGAAATGGCAAACTAAACTCAAAACGGCTGTCGAAAGACTAATCCCGAAAAGAGTATAGCCTCATCCAAATCCATACGTCTAAATAAGCACAGTAACTTCAAAATCGTATGCGATCAGTTATGACCTCACTTTCGTAATTAATATAAATCGTTTTAGAATTCTTGCGGTGCACACTTAGTAGTCATTGTATGTTTGTAGTTGCATGCTTGAAAGATAGCACCAGGCGTTATTGCTGCTGGTGTCGTATCGGCAATGTTTCGCTTCCAATGCATATTCATTTTAATTCATAATTAATATTTTGCACTCCCACATATGTATGTATATCGGTGTATAAAACATATATAATATGTATGTACTTTTGATTATCAATATAAGCCCAAGTGTGTATGAATGTAAGAAAGTCTTCAACTAAACTCCCAGTGCTGATGAGCGGCAAATCATTTATACGTACTACAATGCCAAAGCGATAACCCCAGACTCGTATTCTAGCCACGTCACAGTAAATATATTGTATATTGTACATATGGGTAAATAAATACTAATACATACACTTACAACTACATACAAACAAGAAGAAGACTTCACTGCACACATATCAAACTGGGATTGTGTATTGGCGATCTTAAAAAATATTTACTTAATTCTAAATTGAGTCAAACAGTTGCAAATCACTTTTCGAACGTAGAAGAACGCGAGTCCGCTGAATTGTCGCTTTCTACAACGCGTGTTGCCAAAATGAATTGGACATTAAAATATACGTGTCAACTAATTTGTGTGCTCTTGGCATGCGCAAACACCTTGGCTACACCGTTAGTTCCCGATCGTAATACTAAAATTCCCGACGTACTCTCCAATCGGGATATAGCTGTTATGCGCGCGGCCAAAACAAACGCGATTGTGAATAATATGAATACTAAAGTTAATCCTTGCGATGATTTTTATCAATTCGCTTGTGGAAAATGGAAACGCGAATATCCAGCTACCACAATTGAACACTTGACAACCGGTCTGTTCGAGGAGTTGACACAGCTGATGGAACGCAAAGTGGAGAAACTATTGACTAACGATACTAATTTCAAATACAATGAGATCGATATTAAAGTGAAGGATTTCTTTGAATCCTGTATTAATTTGGTAAAACGAAAGGTGAATTTTAGAGAGAAATTAATTGAGATAATTTCGGAATTTGGTGAAATGCCTGCGCTGAGCGGTGATAAGTGGGACGAGCGGAATTTCGATTGGGTAGAGACCGTTGCTAAAATTTCACGTAAATATGGCAAGGATATCATAATCGGTATGGATATCATGGCGGACTTTAAGGACAATAGCATAAATCGCGTTTACATTGGTCAAGCTGAGCTGCCGTTAGAGAGTCGTACTATGTATTTGGACGATTCGACGGCTGTGTATAGAAAAAGTTATAAAAATAAAATACGTAAAGAGCTGGAGAAATTCTTGGGCATGAGCACACAATTGGCCACAAAGACAGCAGACGAAATTGTTGAGTTTGAAGTGACTTTGGCGCGCGGCTTAGTTGATGATACGCTCGGTTTGAGTCTTGATGATCTATCGCAACTCACCACCATTGATAAGCTGCAAGCGAAATATGGCAAGGAAATAAATATGAAAAAATTGATGAATATAACATTGGGCGAAATAGTCGAGGATGAGGTGTACGAGTATGCTGCCTCATATCAGGAAAACTTAATTGACATTATGCCAAACACACCGAAAGCGGTGATAGCTAATTACATTTTCTATACATTTATTAATGATTATCTGCTCGATACCGAGAAGTCCGAAAAGAAGCATAAGAAAACCTGCATTGACAAGACAAAATCGTATTTCGCTAAAAATGTCGATAACATGGTTTATCGACGATATAGCACCGGTAAAACCGAGAATGATGTCAAGTATATGTGGCAAAAACTAAAAGAGAGCTTCAAAACCAAACTACTCTCCGATGAACTTAATTGGATCTCGGCGCCAACACGTCAATATGCGCTTGAGAAACTGGACGCTTTGCGTATGGAAATCAATTCGTACTCGGAACATAATTTCACCGAAGAATTCGGCACATTGGTCACCAGCAAAGATGATTATTTGGCAAATGTATTTGCGCTCATGGAATTGGATGCCAAGCGTGCACTAGCGAAATTGCATGAGCCGCCACAGCCCATCGAAGCGGGTGAAATATTGTCATATACACCGGCTAATATACTTATTGAAAACGTCATCAAAGTACCGGTATCCATACTGCAGCCCTACATCATGTGGGGTGATCATTATCCCACAGCCGTGAAATTCGGTACATTGGGCACACTGGTCGGTCACGAGCTCATACACGCCTTCGACGATACGGGCCGTCGTTTCGATAAGGATGGCAATAGTCGCGATTGGTGGGATGAGAAGTCAACTCTGATTTTCCTCAATCGCACCGAATGTTTCAGTGATCAGTATAGCCACTATGTGTATGGAAATCGTACGTTGCCGAAGAGTGTGTCACAATCGGAAAATATTGCTGATAATGGTGGCATGCGTTTGGCATATGATGCCTATCTGCGTTGGTATGAGGATGCAATGCGTACCGGTGATGCGGATAAAATGGAAAACCTACCAAATTTCCCATACAACTTCAAACAATTGTTCTTCATTAGCTTTGCACAGGTTTGGTGCAATGATGTGCATCCAGAAGTGAAGCATTTGCAAACTGCCACCGATCAGCATGTACCCGGCGAGTTTAGGGTGATTGGACCACTTTCGAATTTTGATGATTTTGCGGAGACATTCAACTGTGCTAAGGGGACTAGTATGAATCCAAGGAAAAAATGCGAAATTTATTAGTAGAAAGTGTAGGGAAACTTGTTGCCATTAAGTGTGTTTTTTTGTGTTTTTTTTTATTAAATATACATACATATATACATATAAGACTGCATACATTCAATGTGAGCTCTGCAATTTATTTCAAAATTAATTAATTGAAAGCGTTTAGAAAAGAAAAACAAATGGACTGTGAAATAACACAAGTGAATGAGTTTATATGTATGTATATATTGTTTATTTCAAATTTTGCAATTACACAGTTGTAATTATGTGATAAGAAAAAAATAATAATTATAATATATATAATATAAATATTTTGCTTTTTATTGATATGAGTGATGCATCAATGTTGCATTGGCGCAAATGTGCATATGTATTTCTTTTTATAGAAATCCACACATATATATTATATGTAAAAGTATACTTAAACATATACATATTTATATAGACGTATATATATATACCATATAACTAAATTATTTTGTTTCACATTGTTAAACATTTCAAAATTATTAATAATTGATAATAAAACTCTCAGTAAGTGACCCAGCTTTTTAATGGCATAAATAATTCAAAGAAATTTTTTTTTTTACTTTGAAGGCACTACTATTGGAAACAAAGAAATTCCAAAACTTCGTCACTTTTTCGCTACCAAAAGTTTTCAAGAAAAATAAAAATGCGAGCCCAAAGTCAACTGAAACTACTGCGTAAGCTCAGATATGTGGAATTGCGGGTGCACCAGGCCAGCCGAGACGGTCATTTGCTCGAAAATATTTTTAAAACCGCAAACCCTTATCTTTAAAACAAAGCTAAGCTCTTGACCATAAAATTCCTTTATATGCAAGTTTAAAAAACACCGTTTATATGTAAATGAAAGCTCCATATCCACAAACAGCGGCTGCTGAAGTTCGTCATGCTCTTATGATAAATTCATTTTACGAAATTTTAAATTAAACATTAATTTTTTATTTTTTTTTTTAACAAAAAATCCTTATGAAAGTTTCATTCCAACACAAACTCTGAGCTCAACGTAGCCTGCATCGTATGAAAGCGGTCTATATAATTTCATTATATGTTTGTCTGCTTGAAGTAGCAAGAAATATTAATTCATAATAATAGTGATATAATCGCCCGACATTGTGTATAATTGTATGTATGTATGTAGATTAAGAAATGTATTACTCATTACCAGAAAACATAACATAATTCAATATAAACTAACAGAATACTGAAATTATTCTTTGCTGGAATTGACAATAAGCTCATATATCAGCAACATATATTCTAGTATGCACGTACATATGTATGTATGTACATAGGTGTACATGTTTTTTTATTATACTGGCTTTTCTTTATGCGCCTCCGGATGTTGTCAAAAATTATAACAAGAGAGATCGATTGGCGGAGGAAACTCTTCGGACAAACCTCGCCAAATAATATAATAACCAAGAACTACCGCAAAGAGAAAGCAAATTCAAACAAACAACCGTTTTTTAATGCGATATGTGTTCAAAAAGTATCGCGAATTTTGAATTTTCGCGGGTTACGTATAATCGAATTTCGATTTTTTTCTCGGCCATTTTGAATGCTCATTTAATTGTTGACAGCTGCTTTGCTTGCACGTGTTTTGGATGGTCTTCGATTTTTACCTATTCAAAAAAATGGATCAAAGAACCTGTATCAAGTTTTGTGTGAAAACGAAATTAAGAGCGCGGATGCATTCCGAATGTTGACTGTGGCATACGGAGAAGGTACCTTAGACCGAAGCAACGTTTATCGGTAGTACAAAATGTTCTCAGAAGGCCGAGAAGATGTGAACGACGAAGAGCGTGCCGGACGCCCGAGCACTTCAACAACAGACGAAAAAATTAATTGCAGGGGCGTGGTGCATCATGAGTTCTTGCCACAGGGTAGAACGGTCAATAAGGAATACTGCAAGTTATGCGCAAATTGCGCGAAGCAATCCGCCAGAAACACCCGGATTTGTGGAAGAACAAAAATTGGCTTTTGCACCGCGATAACGCCTCTGCTTACGCATCGTTGCTTGTGTGCGACTTTTTGGCCAAAAACAACACACTAATGATGCCGCAGCCAACGTATTCCCCACATCTGGCACCCTGTGACTTTTTCTGGCTCCTTAAACTGAAGAGGCCCATGAAAGGACGACGTTACGCTACGATTGACGAGATAAAGACGACATCGAAAGAGGAGCTGAACAAGATAAAAAAATGATTTTTCGAAGTGCTTCGAAGATTGGAAAAACCGTTGACATAAGTGTACTTGTATAATATCTCATGGAGATTACTTTGAAGGGGACAAAATAGATATTCATGAATATATAAATATTGTTTGAAAACACACAAAATTCAAGATAATTTTTGAACACACCTCGTATACATAGTATAATTTTTGAGCAGATTTGATCGTATTGGGGGAAATGTATTTAAAGAAAATTAGCATACAAACTACAATAAATAAAACAAGAAGTGAGCGTAGGTACACCAAAAATTGAGAATTTTTTAAAATTCAATTGGTTTTAGATGTCAATAACTTTACGAAAGGAAAACAATCAGGCAACTGCTGTTGTAGATTCCATTAAAGTGTACTTCAACAAAAGCGTTACCTGCTGGTCGACACTAATTTTCAAAAAACCTACTTATAATAATGCTTCATAATAGCTAAAAGAGCTCAATGTCATGACATCAAGTTTTCTTCTAGAAATTCGAGGATCGACTGAAAAAATTTTCGCTTGGTTGAAGTTTCTGAGTTAAGTGGAAGCTGTGGTACTATTTACTTCAAATTACTGAATAATCGACTTTTAAAAATTAAATAAATTGTCCTGCAGCTGAATTTGGTAATCTCGTGCTGAAATTTTCAGTGCCGTTTCCATTTTAGGTATATAATATTTAAAATTCTGGTGTCACAGTGCTTGTAACCGAACTCCTCCGCAACGCTTGTACAGATTTTTATGAAATTTTGTATGCCTATAAATAGATGTTTACCGATTCTCATACCTAACCGAATTCTCATACCTAACCGAATCGGTAAACAGCTATTTTTTCCACCCGCAAGTGGACTATGTATTGACCTATAGTCGATTCAATCGTATTTATGGTTCGATTTACTTGAAATTCGATGGATTGGCATGGCAGAAAATGTTTCTTCAAAATATTATTTATGATTCACTTTGCTTGAAATTCTTATTTGCGTATAGTGGACCTGATGCCGATCAATGCGGAGAAATCGTGTTTATGGTTCGGTTCGCTTGAACTTGTCTTATCAATACGACGAAGTTAATTTTAAGAGAGGCTTGTTAATGTGACTAATGCATTCTATTAGATGACAAAACTTGCATAAGAAAATGAAAGGAATGTGCCTGTGCATGGTCAGTCTACGTTGCATGTTCGCATGTTGGCAAACCGTTTTTGTTGTTTGTTCTTCGTGTAACCCAAAATTTCAAATCTGAAAATTAGTCGTATATATTGTATGTTGCACTGGTCCGATCTTGCCGGTTCCGACAAATGATCGTTTAAATCTAACAGTGATAAGTAGACGAACTCTAGACCTGAGGCAATAGTTTGTGTACAAACAGACGGAGTGGCGGGCATGGCTAAAAAACATAATTTGTCATTCTGATTACAGCGGTATAAATTTTGGTAGGCCTATCACTTCGTCTTCTGATTCTTACATATCAGGTGTACAACTTTGCTTCCGCCGTTTTTTCAAAAAATAAAAGTTTTATTGCGAAAAAGTGCTTACAGATATATTATTCAAAGTATTGTCCTTCGCTAGCGACAACTTTCTCCCATCTTTCCGGCAATTTTCGGATCCCGGCTAGAAAAAAGGAGTCCTCTTTTGACGCTATCCATGAAGCAATCCATCTTTCCAATTCTGCGAAGGATTGAAAATGTTGATCTGCCAGGCCTTGTGCCATCGAACGGAATAGGTGGAAGTCAGAAGGGGCGACATCTGGCGAATACGGTGGGTGGGGCCAGGCTTCCCATTTCAGCGTTTCCAGGTACTTTTTGACCACTCGATGTCCCTCGGTTTCAACTCGTACGGCACCCAGCTTCCTTCTTCCTGAATCATGCCCCGGGCCTTGAGACGTTTTGAAATGGCTTGCTGACTCACTCCCAACGATTCGGCAAGCTGTTCTTGGGTTTGGCACGAATCTTCATCAAGCAATGCTTCTAGTTGTTCATCTTTGAAGGTTTTTCTCTTCCATCACCATGTTTGTCTTCGACATCGAAATCAACATTTTCAAAACGTTGAAACCACTCCCGACACGTTCTTTCACTCAGAGCAGCATCACCGTAAATTTCTGAGAGCATTCGATGCGCTTCAGCTGCATGTTTTTCGAATTATAACAGAAAAGTAAGGCACATAAACGGACATTTTCGAGCGTGAATAATACGAAAACAAGAACAACTGTCACTGAAACGGCGATGACAATTCGTTAGGCACTGTCCACACTCACTTTAAAGGCATTATCAACTAAGTATTTCAACCAGCCTCAGCCGGTACAGCCACCTATCGGAAAACGGCGTTAGTAAAGTTGCACACCTGAAACTTCTCAGACCAGAGCTAATGCTCATGAGAGGTTCAAAAATTAACTTTCTATAATTGGAATTGATTTTCTAATTAGGGCAGACCAGAACCCGATTTCTGGCTAATAGTAAGTACTGCCAATCACTCGGGTTTTGTAAGCGTTATATTTAATATTAGAATATATAATATATATATGTTTTATTGATGCTTTAAAATACTGTATATATTGATTTATAACTTTTCAAGCAAATTTCTCTCACATTTCAATGTCCATAATGAGTTAGGAAATCGATAAAAGTCTAGGCCAAATAACACCCTATTGACATTCATACATTAACGTGCTTTTGCAAATGAATTCCCGCTGAATGCTTGGCTCGTCAAATAAGCTTCTATGCCTTGCGTAATCTAATTAAGCGTACACAAAACGTCATCTAAGGGCGAATGTCAAGTTGAAAGTGAATGCAAATGCGAAAAATCCATTTTATTGAGATTAAATTTCAATTTGTGTGCACATTTTTATGAGCGAGAGTAGAATAAGTTGCAAAAATGTGACTGTAAACATTTAAAAAGATTAGAGTTTAACCCTCACTCTGAGCCAGATCGTCGAACCTTAATCGAAGGTGATAATAATATATTTGAATTTTATTTTCTGAAAATGGGCTGGGTATTCTAAGCTGCGGTATAAATTACCCTATCACTGAGACCTTTCCAAAATACCCACTGACTATTATATATATATATATAATTGGCGCTATGTAACCGCTAAAGAGATTTTTCCGCCGAGCTCCTTCTCCAATTTGTGGTTTTTGCGGCTAGTTGTTTTTCCAACAAATGGAGGGATCGACAGTTTATACTAAGCCCCCTCTGAACGGCTGATCGTGTTTTTTTTATGAGGAAATACACTCGGAAGGGTGGACGTTCTCCGCTGAGGGGCGACCGATTAGAATTAAATTAATTTAATTTTTTATTTAAATTAACTTTCCATAACTTTTGAATGTTGGTGGCACAGGGATATGAGCCCGGTCCTTCCGAATGTCAGTACGCAATGCTAACCATTCGGCTACCTACGACTATTTAACCTACGATAAATGTGGTATAAGAGCTATCGTTTCAAATCCTTATTAGATCACGCATATCGAGTGTGTGGGGATCTCAAACAGTAACTAGACTGTGAGATTCGATTTTTAAGTGAATTGCTGTTGGACTTTGAGAACAAAAATCTTGTGCGTATCCCGCGATTAAGTACTAACTTCTTTCTTCAGCTACCATGTGCTATACGACTGGAAAACTCATTTCGTCTATTTTCCACCTTCACTCAACGGAGTCTGAAAGACGAATGTAATGTCTAAGAAAACTAAAGTTCAATAACTCATTAAGTTGGAGGATGATCTATGGGCTAACAATGGAAAAGAATTGCTGGAAATCTTTCTCAATGCTGACTTTCTATCATGAACTTAAGAGCAAGATACCCTAGGTGCGAGCCTTAGAATGAAGCAATTGGGAAACAGAGCGGTTGGGAAACAAAGTTGCTCAAGAAAAGATTGTCTAGTCAATACATCCCCTACTATAAGTCACCATGCTCGGATGGAATTTTCCCAACCATGCTAGTAAAATCCAGAACAACCGGACTTTAAAGTTACTAAGCAATATATTCCACGGTTGTATATTTCTATCTTATGGCAAAGGGCACGAGTTGTATTCTTACAATGGCAGGAACGTCGTTTCTCCTAAAAACACTAGAGTGCTACGACGGAGACTACACTCGGAAGCACAGCATGCCTACAAAAAGGTCAGATGAGTAGGTGCTGCACTACACAATGTGGGATAGAAGATAGAATCCGCGTTCGAAAATTGGGAATATGTTATTGAAATACCCAGAGCAGACGGGCTAGAATCGATAGAAGTCAAACCCATATTTCGACCCTGCCTAACGCCTTACTAGCCTGCAGGAAAATCAATACACAATATGGCATCGCTTCATGTGAGTTAGAACATAACACCGGCAAGACTAGTAGCTAAAACAGAGCATTCTTTGTTGTCACGATGATTCAAGCCTTAAATCAGCTGAAAGTCAGAACGTACGGGCACAGTGGTATAGCGTTATCTCTAAGAACACATACGTGTACATATAGACTACGTCATCCAGAGTAAGACTTTCGGGAAACATTCAGCAGCTACAATAGAGCCAGGCAGATAAAGCAGTGGACTCAGGATTTCAGACAAGGGATATGGCTCTAAAATGAGTGGACGAGTGGACTGCAGTTTGCTGCGCTCAATTAGAAATAGGAATGTCTTTCATCACTTTAGTATTTTCCAAGCCGGGTTATTTGCAATATAAATGGCGGCAGGATTACTGCAGGGAGCTGACCCACACAAAAGAAGAATATATATTTATCTAGATAGCCTAGACGCCGTAAAAGCTTTACTCACAACCAATGTAAAGTCAAAGGTTGTTGAGCTCTGTCCAAAAGCAATTAAAATATCGGCGGAGAAAAGAAAATTTCATATTTATTTTAACCAACAGGTGAGGCTAAAGGCTTTTAGCAAGACTGTTAAGGCGGCACAGCCTTTGAGCGTCACATGCTTTCATACAAGGTCTGGTTGAGGACAGCAAATGCTGGGGAGAGGTAGAGACAGTACAGCTTGTAATCTGTGAGTGCCCGGCGCTCTGCAAATAAAGGATGTTGGCAACTGGAGATAATAGATCGCATGATCTTCAATGATAGGCTAAGGTCCAAACAGTAATGGTCTTCACGCTGGAGACGCATCTAATGGTCGTATGAAGTCCAACACTCTCCGCTCCATTTACACTTTAGGTTGCCGCGAGGGATTTCGCTATGTTGTTCTATGTCTTTGATTTTGAACTTCTCTCCTAAATTTATAAAAAAAAGTAGTAAGGTGTTCACTGTACAGTTTGTCCGATTCAAGATTTTCCAAGCATTCCATTAACCTCTAGATGGAATGAGTCGGGTAAAGAAGTATCTAAAGCTAAATAGGACTTCCTCCCTTGAATGCTAGAGTCCCCACCGTAGCATTTAAAATTTATTACTTAACCGTAAGTGGTTTCTTCCACTGTCATATGCCACTTACCGTGCGTGAGTATGTTAACGGTTTCATTATGCCAGTAGAATAAGCTTAACAGGCAGCCTCTGAATGTAGTCAGTGGACGATAACCGTTGAGCACATACGGATTGAATTGCAAATATTTTGGCATTTCGTAAATATGCTGCAGCTGTGCTGGGGAATTGAACGCGGGTAATATCGTTGTTGAGAGCGAATTTAGTTTCGATGCATTTTTCGTCGGCGTAACGGCTGTAGAACTAATCAATGACGAAGATTCGGTAGACGATTTATGGCTAGCCGATTTCGTACTGGGCGCTACCGAGCTCGACGATGATGATAGCGATGGCGATGACGATGTGAGCGTTGGCGTTAACGGCGTCAATGGTGTCGTTGGTGTGATCACTGACAAATGCTCTTCATGATTTGCAGTGTTTAGTGGAAGCCCTCTATTTGCGAGTATATCTCGTCTCTCGGCACGATCTCTGCCATTTAAAGCTAAAATATCTTCTGTTGCACCGAGCACTCCACCGACGCCACCAACATCGTCGACGTTCGCTTCGCCGTACTGTGCACGCCGTCTCGCCAATTCTCGCTTAATACTAACTGGTGTTGCGATCACAGATGATGTAGACGAATTTGAACTTGAATTGCTGCTAGAGGTCGAGCTAGAATTATTGCTTTGACTAGGCACCAACATTAGCTCAGCATTTGACGCTGACTTCAGTGGTGGTGGCGGTGGTGCTGGTGTTAGGGTTGGCGCTGTTTCAGCATTTCTCTGTAGTACTTTTTTTGATGGTGACGCTTGCGGTGAAGGTGATGGTGTAACGGACATGCGTTCGATATTACTGCCCAGATACTCGGCCATATCGATGAGATGTGTTGGTGTACTACTTATTTTATGGCTAACCCCCACCGTAGCCGGGCAACCATAGTTCATCACGGACGTGCCGATACTGTGACCCACACCAACGCCAACTTGCAAGCGATGACGCAGCACATTTGTTTGCTCTAGCATCGCTACGGGCGTTAGTAGAACGGCTGGTGTAGATCGTGACGGTGGCCCTGTAGTTGACTGTTCGTGCGATAAGAGCTCACCGGCGCCGCCGTTACATCCTCCAATGCTACCACTATTGCTACTTTCCATGATGGTTGTGGTTGTGGTGTTGTTGTTGCTGCTGCTGCTGCCATTGCAGTCGACAGCAGTTTGCATGGTTTATCAAATCAATAGCTGAAATGGGTGTGTTGACCTCGGGCGTTGGAAAATAGCGGTGCGATGAAATAAGCGGCGATACGCTTTAATTGACTTAGAATTTTTGAGGTTGCTGTGCAATGCAATGGGTATCAAGTTGAGTTCATACGTTCCGCAATTAATTTTAATTAAGCTGCAATGAAAAATAAATTATTTGTGCGAATATTTAGAACATTTAATAAATTAAAAATACCAGTATTTATTTTCTGTAGTCATAATGTTATGCATAAGAAACAAATTCACATCCATTGGACAGTTATAGCACTACTTTTTTCCATCCTAATATCATGAAAAACAACAAAATATTTGATATGTCTGTAGGGTGGCTACCACTATCTAACTGGTGGAAGTCCTCGGATATACGAAGCGTGATAATTAAGTAATGAGACTGATTCCATACAAACCGTATATTTCAAAATTATTCTACAACTCTGCCATCTTCTTCAATGTAGTCACCTTGAGCAACTATACAACGATTACAGCGCGTCTTTCATGCTTAGTAACATTTCTGGAACGCTTCGACTGGTATGTCCGCAAATATCCTCGTCACGGACACCTGGATGTCCTCAGCCGACTCAAAATGTGTTCCTTAGACCACCGATTTTGTTCTCGGGAACAATAAAAATCATTGGGTGACATATCGGGCGAATAAGGCGGATGTTGAAACATCCCTTTAGATCCCTTTAGAGGCCAAATACTGCGACACGCTGAGGGCGGTGTGGCGCGGCTCGTTGTCGTGATGAAGGATCCAGTTACGAGCGATGGCTGAGCGCAGCCTATTGACTCGTTTTCGCAATCTTTCGATTACTTGGCGTTAGTAGACTGTGAAACGTCGATCTTCACAGAGCGCTCACACGATGCGTATTCGTGTCAGTCCGCACTTCGACTGGTCTCTCTCTCTCTGCGTCTCGTCTTTCACGCTTTCACACGTTTACTCAACACGACACAGCTAATTGTCAAACCTCGCGGAGACATCGTTACTACGGTTACAGGTTAACCACTTCGTTCGAACAACAGGCTACATCCGCGTCTAGACTAAGTTTTTTAGCCTTAGCATATTTTTCGCGCACGCTCCTCCGGTGGTGCTGTTACGACTGCGTTCAAAGCGACATTCGAGGAGACTTACGATCGCTGCCCAGTCCACGCCGTGAAGAGATTATTCTGAATTCTGGCTTCAATGCAAAGGCATGTCTAATCCCAATTATCAACCAATTCACTTCCTTTAAGAACAGTCTGAGGCTGACAGCTTGCAGCACCGCATTCCAGGACTGCAAGAAGTCATGATTTAAGTGTACTGGACGCTCGTACGTATCGAGAAGTTAACATTGATTCCGACTAATATCTTATCGCAGCCAAGGTACACATGCTGCTCTATACAATTCTTCAGTGCGCAACGAAGCTGCAGTAACGGACGCCTGAAACCTTCTCATCTTAACCGTGGGCAGCCTGTTGAAATATCTTTTACCTCTTACAATATCCAAAACTCCTAGAACAAAAAAATCTTCTTCTTGATGTATTAAAGGGAAATCCAGTATTTTTCCAATAGACGGCGTTATTTATCCGTATCTCAAGTTGTATAAGTCCGATCGGGTTCTGAAAGATGGTGTTAGAAAAATGACATTTCGTACTAAAAAAAACTTTTCTGACAGTTTTGTGATTGGTTGATTCAGTTTTGTTTGAGCGTGCCTCAAAGATGGACACTGGCAAAGAGAAAATGCAGTGCAGTACAGTTTTTCTTCGATAAGGACCAGACGGCTGAAAATGTGAATAGCGTTTATGGTCCTAATACTGTTACAGTTGAACATTTTACTTCACGCTCGGGATCGGTCAATTTGCGGCCCAGATCGTGCGATTTAACGCCTTTAGACTATTTTTTGTGCGGCTATGGTAAATCTAATGTCTATCTAGACAAGAGTATTTACAGTATGCAAATACTCGTATGCGCTGCTGTAAATCTATATTTCGATTTTCCTGTAAACTTAACGACTTTGACTACATAAAGGTGTTGTAGCGCCGCACAAAGGGCTAAAAGTGCTTAAAACACCCGCTGCTTTATATATATATTATTGGTAATACTTTCTTTAAATTTAGACATTTGATTAAAAATTGTTCGGGAAATCGAATGGTGTAAAAATTTGTATATTTACTCTTTCTGAGATTGACAGTTTACAGTCGGAAAATGAGATTTCTACAAATCTTCTTCTTCAAAGGAAAATGCTTATATTAAACATTTTACAATTGATTCGGGTTACTTTCTCCTCGTAAATACAAAATACTGTACTTTTGAAAGTAGACATGTGAAAACTTTTTTGTGGTAACTTAAATTTTGCAGACCATTTTTTCTTGAATAATTTTGTAAAACTGAATACGAATTTATTTAATTTCCTTTTAAAAATTTACCGATTAACTTCTTCTATTTAATCGTTTTTATTTTAAAATATTTAATCTGAAAATGTAAATTTTTTTTAATTTATTTTTCAGAGCTAATTTGTACGGAAAATGAGAAAAAATATGTAAACATGAGTTGTAAAAAGTTATGTATTATGAAAACCAAGGCTGGGCATAAAAAAGTTTCAACGATTTATTCGTTGTATAAAAACTTTTAAATTTCGCGTGTAGAACACGATAAAATTTGCCCAAGTTTTTTGTAAAACTAAATAAGTTAACAATGATTGCAAATAGATTAAAAGAGAATATGGTATCATGTAGTGCATTTATTTTTTAGCTTTCCCTCAAAATTTTTTCATTGAATATTTTCTGAGAAAAACAATATTTAATAAAATATTGCACTTTTTTTGATTGCTGATTGCAAGTAAACCAACTTTAACTCTTATTTATCATGTGACTTAATACCAAATCAAAAATATTTTTCCTTACTTAGTTTTCATGTTCCTTCCACCATGAAAATTCGCTTAGATTTTGGGTCATAAATCCGCCAAAAATACGAAAGAGCATTAAATTTGACATTCTTTTTACATTACTAAAAATTATTATTTGCACTGAAAACCAGTCTTCCGAGCCCGACTGTATTATACACGCTTCTACAACCGACTTTTCAGATATGAAATTTAAGGTTAAGATGGTTGAAAAAGCGTGCTATATATAAAATTTTATACGTTGCATAAAAGGCATGGAGACTATCCTATAGAAATAATTTGGAAAAAATAAAACAGCGCTTATTAGTTTTTTTTTCTTTATTAACAAAAGCCATACTTCCATACGGATATATGACAAGTATTTTATAACTGGATCTGACATTATGTATATATATAATTGGCGCTTTGTAACCACTGAAGCGATTTTTTCGTCGAGCTCCTTCTCCAATTGGGAGGGACCTACAGTTCATACTAAGCCGCCTCCGAACGGCTGATGGTTTTTTTTCATGAGGAGCCCTTATTTCATGTCAGAAATACACTCGGAGGGGTTGACAATCCCTGCCGAGGGGCGACCGCAATTATTAGAAAATTTAACTTAATTTTTTCATTTAAATTAATTTTCTATAACTTTTGGATTTTGGGCGCACCAGGATTTGAACCCTGGCCTTCCGTATGGCAGTACGCAATGTTAACCACCCGGCCGGTGCCGCTGCATTATTAAAAAAAAAATTACAAATATTGGTAAAATTATTGAATCTTGAATCTCTCCGGCCACATCGACATCGGAATTCTTTAAAAATCTTATTGCAATAAAGAGACCCAATTGAGGCCCACGAAACAGATTTGGTTATTTTATAAACTCGCAATTGTATTGGCTAGCATTGTGTATCGCAATTGGGAAGGCCAGTGTTCAAATCCTAGTCCGACCAACATCCTAAATTAATTTCTATTATTGAAGTCGCCCCTCGGCAGGGAATATCAAGCCCTCTGACATGCACTAAAAAAGCCCCTCATAATAATCCATCGGTCGTGCGAGTGCAGCTTATAATTATCTGTAGAAAAACATCAAACGCAAACCACAAATTGAAAATGGAACTCGGCCAAAAATCGCTTCATCAGTTCCAAAGCGCCTAGTAGATATTATTATTGCAATTAGTTGAAGAATTACAAAGAAAATTTAAAAGTGTATGTCAAGAAATTTTGATTTAAAAATTTTCAATTTAGCAAATTTTGGTCTGAAGAGGTAACTTCAAATAGAAATATTGCAAAGTAATGCAGGGACCCGCATATAAGTTCGACACCATTTGCTTTATAAAAGTTTATAGTTTATGGATCGGTAGTCTTTTGTCGATTTGCAATGAGTAAAAAAAGTTGTGACCCAAAGAAAATTGTAACTTTTTCAAACAGAGTAAATTTTTTTGTTGTAAGTTCGAATTTTCTAAACTAAAAAATACTCGAAAAATATTTATTTAAAAAAGGATTAATCGTATTAATGTTTGGGTATTAAAAAAATTACCTAATTTAGTTTGACAAATGCATCTTAGTTAAACATTTTTGTACAGCCACCAAATAAAAAATTTTCACATAAAAAATTTCTTGTCTAGATTGCCCAACTTGAGTGGTCATAGTTCTGGAATGCGCCGTTCGAAGCTTTTTTGATGACTTACTGTATGTTAAAAAATAAAAACCCAAGAAAAAATGTCCTGCCTGCTAATTTAGTTTTTGCTCTAAAGCGCGTGTTTCGAGCAATTTTACCCCACTGTGCACTGTTGCCGCTGCAGAACAAAGAAATAAAGAAATGAATAAGATGCTGAGTTTAAACGTTTTATCAATTACAGTAAAGCAATTTAACAATTACACAAAAAGTAATTAAATACAAAAGTTGAATTAAAAGCCAGCGAAACTGAATTGAATTCCTCAATGGACAGCTGCTACTATTTACGCTTTGCTCTATTTATTGCTGAAGGCTAGCAATTTGTATGGTATATTTGAAGTAGAGCAAATCAAAAAGGAAATTAAAACAACTAGCACGAGGAGGTACCAAGAAGAAGAAGAAGAAGCATAAAATGCTGCTGCGGTTACCCA